TCTCTCTTTCACACACACACACACACACACACACACACACACACACACACACACACAGAGCCTATCCTCCCCACTGGCTCCCTCAGGGCCCAGCATGCGTTTCTCAGAGGCCCCCTAAGGAGGCTGAAGTGTTTTTGCTTCTCTTTCAGCCAGGTGGGCTTAAATAGGCAATCACTGCAAGACAATTAAAAAAATGCAGAGGGAGAGGCCCTCCTCCCCTCTCTCCTCCCCTGCTCCCCTCCTTCCCCTCATTTAAGTGATCCCCCTTCTAGGAGGCCTGGGGCCCAGAGCCTGGCCAGTAACTGCTCACACAGGGCCTTCAGAAGGAGGCAGACCCATCCCTCGAGTCCCAGCTGTGCCAGCCTCTCCCCTCAGATGCCCATTCGTGTCCTCTTCCCACTCAGTGACCCTCATGTCCCTGTCCAGGGCGACAGCCTGGCTGATGTCCAGTGGTAGAGGAAGGTCACCCATGCTGGCTCCCGGCTGCCCTCCCCTGTCTGTTTCCATTCAAGGCCAGACCCAGCAGCTGTGCTCAGGAGCATGACCTCCTGTCCTTGGGGCCATGTTTTCTCTCCACATGTAAATAGGACTGGCCTGGAGGAGATGGCCCTCGCTGGGTGTGGGCACTGGGCAACACACTCAGCTCCTGACTGAAGGATTGCAGGTTTTAGTCTCCTCAGGGCACCTCCAAAGGAAGGCTTGGCCCAGCACAGCCTAGTTGTACCTCACATGGGTGGAGTGTGTGTGTGTGTGTGTGTAAAGTTAGGCAGTGCCCTTCCTGGTGTCCCCTTCTCCTGGCCTTTGGGGCTCTGGTCTTTGCTTTCCCCTCAGTGTCTCTGTTACCGTGACTTTGGACAGAGGAACAAGACCGCACAGGCACACACACAGATTCAGATTATCTATCGTCCTACCACTACAACAGTCAGGGAACTCTGGCGGCCTCATAGTAAGGAATTGAGCTGCCAAGCCAAAGGTACGTGGTTCTAATCCACAGCTGCTCCACAGGAGAAAGGTGGGCAGTCTTCTTCCACACAGTTTACAGCTTCTGAGAACCCGCTCGGGGGACAGCTGTGAGTCACTTCTGACTCGACGGCACACAACAACCACCACCAAAATAGTCGTAAAAGGTGTCTGCTCATTTCAGGTGCCCAGAAGTGCCAGCTGAAACCCAGCCAGG